CATGTTAAATTCCCACAGGGATATCAACGAGGTCAACCATTATACCCTTTTATATAGCCATTCACGAGCTTGTTGGTGTTACCTTTCATGCAAGCTCAGGGTATGACCTGACCTCGTTTCAATTTAAGATAGTAAACGACAACAAGCTGCAAGGCTATCAATTGACCAAGATACTCTAGGTCTAGGAGGCGAGGCTAGCGTCTTAAGTTGATATTCTAACTTATGTCCATGGGTTTTAAATTGTTGCTAATATAGGAGGTATGTAATATAACAAACATTTATACCACATTTCCATTGTACATAGATGTGTACACTAAGTCCCATACAACCGGATACTTCTTACAAGGAATGCTAAAAATTATAGACTAACAACTTCTCTGCTAATGCTCGATCACAGAATAAAATTAGTATGTGTACGATGTCTCGCAAACGTCATCAATAGAAGAGAAAATCATTCTTGGTAATAATTTGCGTTATTACATAGGTTAGGTAGTTACTAGAAGCAAACCCATGGAAATGGAACTGCTGTGGTCGTATGGATATGCAACGCTTTGATTACTGTACGGTACATGATTTTCCGTAGATCACATCTAGACTTCCTCTACCCTTGTCAGAATCCACAGGCCCCCTCTCTCTCCCCCGGAAGCTAACGATAAGACAACAAAGAAAGGCTATGAGTAACAATTCCTTATGTACAACTTATGATGGTTTCAAGGAGCAAAGTGGTCATATATCTTGTGAGAATCGTATGGCAAGAGGATGTAAGCCTTACTAGTGTAAAGTATTAGATGCTTTCTTATTGTAGTTAGTTAGGTAGTTCGTAGCAACACTTTACCGAGATAGCAGCTGAAAGGATCATAACGACTAGCCACGAACAGGGTCTACATACATGAACCACGGCCCAGGATTCAGCTAAGCATCGAATTTGTACTATACCTGAGTAGAAATACCCTAGAAAAAGGCCATCAAGGTATGTAAAATCCGCAACAAAATCACGTGGTTCCTGACGTTACCAAGTTAATTCTAAAGAGTGCTACACCAAGGTCCTTGCGCTTCAGGGGTCCTCCCCGCCTCTCGAAGGGTTCGTTACCCAAAACCGGTCCCGGGTCTTCGTTGATTGGCTATTGAGACGGCGCAAAGTCCGCCACCAGGGGATCCAAGGGCTCAAGGGTATGTTTTGTACAACCCCTCTAGTTAGACCTTCTAGATCCTCTCCGCCGGTAAGGCACGAATTTGTTCGATCAAGCCTTTTGCGATCGTTGATAGATGCCCAATGAGCTCACAATTCCTGCTTTTAGAACGATCTACCGGACAATTTAACGTGCCCTTCTTGATTTTTCCCTTAATCAAATTGCTATGCAAGGGGGGTACGAAATAATGACTTATCGCAAAAAAAAGAAGTAAGCTGACACAATATACAATACAATATACACACCATTCCTCCTAACCATGCCCAACTATCGCAAGGACTAGCCTCGTAGGAGAACAATTGGATCGATCTGTCCAAGATAGGCATACATGCGCGTCTTTCTGCCATACTGGGCTTGGAGAATTGGTTGCCCCTCTACGAGGCGCCGCAAAGGCGACGATCCGCTTAGCCTCGTTATGAGTTTCCATCCTGCCAAGAGCCTTCTTGAAGTATCTGGCCTAATTAATGTTCCCAAAGGAGCGTCAATCCTAAGCCTCAGTTGGTGTTTGAACGCAAGTAACAAGGTATGAAAACCGACCCCCCCCCCCCCCCCCCACAACTCTACCGGATATGGCATTCTTCTCGTCCTGTCGTTTGCGTGCTTTGACAGCTCTATCGGAGTTCCGAGTTTGGACATTCAGATACTTTAGTTTTGCTATATGATGGCTAACAGACTTATAGTCGCGGAGTTCACAATTTGTCAAAGTTACGACCTATTAGATACCTTCAGAGACAAACACAGCGTGTGAACTGTAAGGATAATATGGTAGTTTACTTGCTTATGTCGGCATCCTGCGTTGAGTTTTGTCAAACCAATGCAGTGCAATGAAGCCGCTGGCTTATTTTGATTCCGATATACATAGTATTACCATCATCTGGTATGTCCTATCATCAGTCAGAAATAACTTGCTGGTCTCATCTGCGACGTGCTGAATACCTAAAGGACTTTCGCTAATTAGCGACTTGTTTCTACATGTCGATTACTCACGTTGACGATGAACAGCACAACTAATACGTGTGCTATAGAGAAGGATCTCTATTTCGATGGTACCCAACACGAGTGTTGGCGGATCTAAAATTCCCACTTTACCCCAAGATGCGCAACCCATCTGAGAGTGTTTGTATGCTTATCTCACCCGTCGTTTATCCATAGGAGACGTGTTGCGGCTCCCCACCGGGTCATCTTTGTCGGTCATCTTTGTCACCCGCTTAATCCATTTTGATTACCAAGCTATTATATTAAAGGTTGGAATGGGTTCTTACAAGGCTTACACCTCCTTCGCCTTTAATTGCCCTTATTCGGCCATATTCGAATACACCATATTCGAATACACCATATTCGAATACACCATATTTACTCCATACGGGAACCTGCTTGATGGCTGACCTCCTTTTTTCACGCCATCGATCTCGAGCAGCCGCCACGAGACAATGTCTGGTCTTTCGTGTGCATATTTATAAGGTGCACATTGGGGCTGAGGGTCATATGTGTTCGATCATGAAACGCCTCCGCGGGTTAGATCTGCCGTCTGATAAATGATCTTACAGGTGTTAACGCCTCTTTGCGCCCGTCCTGTTGTTATTATTGAATGCCGCCTTCTTATGCCGTGTTCGGGTTCTGACAGAAGACGGCTGCTCCCTTGCCTCCTGACAGTAATAATATCAGCAAGGAAAAGCTATCAGCAAGGAAAGCCCGCGGCCCGCAGCCCGCAGCCCGCAGCGAAATCCGAAATCCTTTCGCGGCGCAGACTGTGTCGCCTACCTACCTGGTATCTAATACCCACACGACAACTTCGGAAGATGTGGATCCAATGGGCTGGATTCGAGCAGCGAGAAGTGAGCGCTGAGCGCTGATTGCGTCGGTATCAACCGATCGGAAAGATTTCGGTCCCGATCTCATTTTCCAACGTTGCTAGCATGGCGTCGTATTATTTGCTACGTGATCTAAATTGTAAATTGTCTACTACGTAAGTTGAATGGGATAAATCAAGATGTTTTTACATTATGACTGATAGGTTACGAATGATGAATAACCAAATATAGGCTGAGGTACTATGTATTTGTCAAGTGACTTCTTTACTGGTAAGATCTTACTTAGCAAACCCAAATCCATAATATTGGGACATTGCTTTGCCGGTTGAAGAGGGGAGATGCCTACCTAGGCACTACTGACATGCCTGGGTACATGCTGCCGCAAATAACTAGTCCGAGATTGGTAAAGCCGATTTATTTGTACCGTGTATTGCCATCTAACCCCGGGCAGCTTCCATCCATAGACACTAGGTACATGGCTGCTGGCTACATTGAGTTTGGTAAGATTGACTGGTTTCGGGCAGGGTTGGTTACAATTGGCTGGGTACAATCCACCCGTACCACAAAATAAAAAGAAGTCACGACAGGAGGCCTACATAACACATAATACATACTACATCATGCATAACGCAGTGACCTTAGATACCTACCTACCATGATGCCGTTTAAAGATACCGTCTATTGGATGTCAGCTCCATTTCTAAAAGCCTCCGAAGCCACTTTTATTGCCTACCATAGTATTTCGTTGCCTCCAACCTGGTCCTTGGCTCCATCTACTTGTCTACATACCTAAACTAGGTAATATCCATACCTCCATCCATTATCTTTCCCCATACCTAATATGTCCTATTATATCTACGTATGCATATATTTCGTAGTACGTTACCCAGAACGCTGCAGATGTGATAAATCATATTTTGAAAAGGTCACGAAGGTGTTGCGGTGTGTTTTCCACTCCATTCCTTTCGCCCGCCCGCAACGCCGTATTAGGAGTATGGCATGATTAAGAATATTTCCAATTCCAGGGTTCGGGATTTGAGACGGAGATAGGTCACGCTGCAAATACATACATACACACATACCACCGCGGTCTGCGCAGGGACATGATTCATGTCATGATTCATGTCATACCCAATCGCTTGCACCTGCACAGCTTGCAGCGGTATCAGAGCGCCTGGAACCTCTTAGGAGATCTGCATTGCGTATCTGCCAGTCTAAAGACCGTGAGGCACGGCTCAGCAATTATGACCTATCTCTTTTGTGTTCCAGGTGTCTGCCGCTTGATGGCCATTCAGCCATTTTACAGTATGTGAAATGCGAATCTTCATTTTCGCCCAATAGATACTCTTACCTGTATGGACCAGACACGGGATGGGCCTCATAACCTGCGGCCGCTGAAAACATCTCCGACTTGATTCTGTGTGCATACACACATTGCGCACATTCACAAACTCACATGCACGAACAAACAGAGGTCGCGTGTGACCAACAAAAATGACCTATCCAGTGGGTAGGCTTATTCGTTCGTCGGAATCAGCTCGAGATCATGATGATATATTCTTCGGCAGCCTTGTCAGACTGGTGTCAGCTCGAAAGCGGCAATGAAGATCGTCCCAACGATCTAGTTAAGTGATGCAGAATGCTACTCCGCACCGAAGACCCTTTAACCTTTTCCCTGGTTCAAACGGTACTGGGTAGTCTCGGGTGGGTTTCGTTGGCTGACAAGGTGAGTGGATGCGTCAGTGGGATTCCCATACAAGTACAATCCCAACATCCAACCAACCATCCAGCCCCGAACGAAAATCTTGGGAAAATGTCGCTAGGCACCATCAGCCTTGTGTTATTAGAAATGGAAATATGGGAGACGAGCCCTGTCAAACGGCGCTGCAACCCAAAGCCTCCGAGGACGTGCCGTCGGTCAAACCTCGTGGATATTCCACACCGATTTGGTGAGTGCAGCTTTCGGAGCTGAGAGGCCTCATTGAGCTTATTGCGTTATTAAGATTGCTACTCCGCGATCTCAACTATCATGGCCCCATTATCGATGCCTTAAAGCCCACAGTTTCATCATCATCATCATCATCATCATCACCATCCTCCGGTTCTCCGTCTTGCTCTGTTGCCACACCCTCGGTAAATACTAAGTCTCCCGTTCGACCGAGAGCGCTCCGGCTCGCCTCCTCGAGTAATATGCCAAAAGCTAAGAGCGCTGTCTCGTCCATGCTCTGTTCATCAATAGTTCGGGCATCCGGCTCACCTCGGGTCATAGCAAGTGCCGCGTAGAAGTGGCTAGAATAGCTATGGACCGCTTTGAGCATATCACTATCGGGTAGCGTGCCTCTACCACCGCCTTGTAATTCCTCGTGGGCGTGATAGATGTCCTTTTCGGCATAGCGCACGGGTGCACGAATACGGCGAAATAGGACTTCTTCTGGCGCGAGCGTAGGATCGCGGCGGTGGTCTCGCGAAGTCCGAGAGTGATGAGAGGGTATCTCGGACTCGGATCCATCATCTAAAGGGAGAGTCGTGGTGACTCGACCTAGCAATGCAGCCAGTCAACATCTGCCTAGAATGCCACGAATATGCGGTGATAGGGGAGTTGTAGACGAATAAGATATCCGGGATTACGAACCTGCTACCGCGTCGTAGACATTGGCATTTCTTCTCTTGCGCTTCCACCTATGCTCGTCTAGGATATTAGCTTCGGTTCCGGTCTTTGTAACGTTGTCCACTTCCGGAGGCGCTATGAGGCGTCTCTCTTTGGCTCTTTTAGATGACATCTTCATATATGTCCTGTCGATTATGAAGCTTGACTTCAAGCGCTAGGCGATAGTAAAGTAGCTCTGTGGGTTGTATCCTCATTGGTCTTCATTATCTTAAGTTCAATATCCACTTGTATCAAAACGCTAAGGGTCGTCGGTGATCACAACGAAGTCACAAGGCGAAATGGTGTAATTTCTAGAAGCGAACTTTACTTAAAGTTGTCTTGGGATTGTACATACCCAGGTAGGTACATACCTATGTATAAGGCAGGTACCTAAGGTATATTCTGATTATTGTCTATTGTATTGTACGTGTTTTTTGGTACTACGGAATTTAGGCTTGGCGGGGGGCGCTAAAGTTACGTACCAACAACTACGTAATATTTCCAGTATTTGTCCCCGCCTACAAACTAGAAATGCGGCTCTGAATTTAGTACAACAACACTTATATACAAATCTCCAATTAACACTTGCAATTACTTCCCTGTCCATATTGTACCGCTCTCGTTCCTCGCTCGAGTAAAGTAGACCGTGGTGGTCTTCTATTCTAATGAATGAATCAATCTCTTTTTGAGCGGTCCATCGGTAGCATTGGACCTAATGTATTCGCCAGGGTACAGACGACACAACTCTTGCACTCGTTTCGTCCTGCACCTGAGTTTCGCTTCGATGGCGGCGAGAGAGGTACTGCTGTTAGAGATGATGAGGAGGGATCAATAGCCCCCGATCCCACTTCTACGCTATGGTCACATCAAGCTGGTGTTAACGCGTTAGCGCTCGATCGCTTCGACGGCAGAATGTGAGTACTTCTGCAGCTAAATAATATATGTTTACCTACCTACCTACCTTAGGTACCTATATATATCTATCATTACGTGTAGTTTACTTAAGCTAACAAGTTCAGCCTCGTGTCGGGCGGATTAGATGCCTCCATAAAGCTCTGGGACCTAGAGCAGTGTAGCAATGCCTCAAAGGCCCATACTCATACCCCTATCGCTAAGGTCTCGCGTTCGGACCAAACCCACAAATTTGGCATCACACATCTCTCCTTCTACCCCTTCGATTCGGCTGCTTTTCTTTCAACATCGTACGATCAAACTCTAAAAGTGTGGGCTACAGAAAGAGCTACAGCCTCTGCCTCCTTTAATCTCGGTTTCAAGGCATATACGCATGCCATATCACCAATTGCCTCGCACTTGCTAGTCGCATGTGGAACGCAGCACCCTGCTGTGCGTTTGGTGGATCTACGCTCTGGCTCTAACATTCAAACATTAGTACCTGGCCACTCAGGTGCCATCCTGGCCGCTGCGTGGTCCCCCAGGCACGAGCATGTCCTCGCTACCGGTAGTGTAAACGGAACGGTCAAAGTCTGGGATATTCGTCGGGCTGGTGGGGTTATTGGCATGTTGGATCACGAAGATAGTCTAGGGCTATATTATAACGGCCTTATAGATGCCAGTGGCAAAGTCAGAACTCGAGCCTCTGCGAGAGCGCATACTGCCCCTGTGAATGGTCTAACATGGACGGACGATGGAGCGTACATCGTGTCAGCAGGTCATGACCAACGTATCCGTGTGTGGGATGCCGCTACCGGGAAGAATACACTCGCGAGCTTTGGACCAAGCATCAGGAACAGCCAACTAGCAAGCATTACCATGTTTACATCACCAACGGGCCTAACTCACCCGGGTAAAGAATTGCTCTTCTGGCCTAATGAGACTGAGATCCTCGTCTTGGACTTACATGATGGCCACGTGGTCACGAAACTGAGAGGAACTGGTCCAACCGTGGCGGGTGTTAGATCTGTCAGTGGTGCCCAACGTACCACCAAGAATCGAATTGCTAGCATAGTCTGGAGGGGAGCAGGCGGCGGTGGCAGCTCAAGCGGCGGCGTCATGGGTGGTAGCAATATGGCCGGTGCTATCTTTAGTGCTCACCTCGATGGTCAAATCAGGGCGTGGTTACCCCGCTTAGAAGGCGATGATTATGAGGATGAGGACGAGTCCCTAGACGAGGCCAGTAAGGACAAGGCTAAGAAGCGAAAAGCCCTCGATGATGTCTTCAAGAATTTGATGGGCAAGAAGATCACATTCACCTAAGGCTAGCGATAGAGGAACAGGAAGGATGTGCCGTTCAACCTCGCCGATTTTCGCAATGATAACACCAATCAGAATGCTTTGAAGGAACACGGCGGACCTGCTGGTTCAAGTAAGTTCCTATATGCACTACGACTTGGCTGCTTCGTAGACGAGATGGAACCCAGACCCCTCTAGGGCCTATTGAGGGCCTATTGAGGGCCTAGCGAACCTTAACATCATCTCACCGCTGCTCTAACAGATCTACAACGTCTTGGTCCCTCCTGCTGCCACCAGCTCCCTCACAAATGCTCCACCCATATATAGCGGGACTCGTCGTCCTCAGGTACCTAACCTGAAAGGGAAACTACAAATCCAACCAGGTCGAGGGAAGAGAACTGCGAATCTAAAGATCATGCAGATACGATAATGTCTTACTGAGTAGTAAGACATAGATAGTTTGGATCCTTAGCAAACATAATTAACATGGAGAAGCCACGTTCTTGGCTTCCGGCTGGTTTGAGGCGTGAGATGTTTGGTCTGGGCAAGGACCAACACGTGTCTCTGCGTCGTGGTTAATGAGATACTATTATCATCTTTCACATACGATTTCTAGCCCCTTGGCGAGAATATAGGCTATCCACACATATATGTATGCATGACATCGCTGCGATCCTGACATGTCAGTACTATCGGTCAACTACGCCCCCCTCCCCCCCTTTAGCGGTCTTGAAAGTTGTTTCTTCTAATAATATAGAGGCAGGCAATGGCAGGCATCCTAACTAACCCTCGCATATGCACCTGTCGAACTGCACGAACCTTGATAAATTCTGTCTATTTAGGGTTGATCAACCAATGGTTCGTGTGTTCTGAAAGGCATATGTCACGTCATGTGAGGAGCCAATTCGCAACGACTATTGGAAATGAAATAAGCTGACCTAAGACTATTAGTTGATGCAGTTTTCCGTGGACTACGTATTTCTACCAGTCTACACATACACTCCTAGCCCAATCATATATACGATATCGTACAATATTACTTTACAATTTAAACCCAATTATCAACTCAGGTACCTATGCTGAGTTATTTTCCAAACAGAGAAACATACCTAGTGGTTAGCACTGCGCACTGGATGTACCTGCTAGTCTAATCCTACTGTTAAGTAGAGGTGGAGTTAAGTATGCGATGTGACTGTTATCACATGTTATAGCACATTACTTGTAAGTCGTTTATATCGTTACGAGGCTGGCCAGCCAATAAGAACCCATCGACGTAGATCAACTTGACCGTCTATCTATTTCTATCTAGGTACCTAGTATATTATATGATATCGTGTGAATAGGTTCGTTCTCAACCTGGTTGCCTCGTATAAGCAATTACCTGGTAACGTGGCCTAGCGGAACGACGGGTCTTGTCTAATGCATGTTTCGCAGGACTGGGGTAAAGCCGTTGCGCTTGGCTTTAATAGAGACTGGCGGTTCGGTATTATGTGGTTATGTGGTGGCGTATAGAAACGGGCTTGTGTATACTTATGTAGTACATATGTATATAACTTGTGCTAGATTGTATATGCTGCTATTCTTTATACCAGCTTTGAACTTGGTATGTATGGGTCTCTTTAAAAGACGTGGAGGATGCACTCTTGGCTTTTTGGGTAAAGTAGAATTATAGTAGGATAGCACTTCTCGTTTGGTTTGACTAATAGGGGCTCGTCGGTATCGTATGCATAGAAGAAACGGTAACCTACACGATAGAACTCATCTGCCTATAGGTAAACTACATACATGGCTACCTAGATAAGCATAAATTCTCTCTTACAATATTTCATATCTTGACAGAATGACCGGAATAATGCCTATAAAGAACGGATTTAATTTCTATGATAAACATGTAATTATGAACTCTATCTCGAGAGAAGCGTTTGATTGTACAATGTAGCTTCCTTTAATTATACGCTTCTATATTCAATATTAAGACGCCTCTAGCTTACACTTTTACCCGAAATCAGCTTGTGACTTCCTGGAAAATAGGCCGTCTTATACTACATATTTGTTTCTTCTAATGGTGCGTCAAAAGCTTACATCTTAACCTTTATATCATTCTTCTATGTCCATCTTCATTAAGCATAATGGATTCAAGAATTCAGGCAATATTATTCGACATGGTTGATCGCGGAGATCCCGCGGGGATCGGTGCCGTCTTAAAAGAAGGGGATGATTTGAATTTTACCAATGCATCCGGGTCGACTCTTCTTCATATCGCTACCAGACAGAAAAACCGCGACCTGGTAAAGCTGCTACTTGAATCCGGGGCCAACCCAAATACCAAGGATGCTTCCGGGTCGACGGTTTTAGATGCTGCGGCGATGAAAGGCCAATCCGGGATTGTAGGGCTGCTTCTCGACTACTACGCCGATCCAAATATCACGGATCAGGTTGGTCGGACACCGCTGCATTCTGCAATCAATAGCGGAGATGAATCAACAGCCAAGATTCTGCTCGAAGCTGGAGCTAACATAGAAAGCATGGATAATAGCGGCTGGACACCACTGCACGTTGCAGTTTACCTAGGAAGAGAAGAGGCCGCGAAACTTCTAATCAAACATGGAGGTAACATGGAAAGCAGAGATGTCGATGGCTAGACGCCACTGCACATGGCAGCTGGCCTCGGACATGAGACAATGGTGAAGATTCTGGTCGAGGCTGGAGCTGATGTAGAAGCCAAAGACGATGATGGGTTTGCACCGGCCGAACTTGTACCTCACCGGAATCGTATAGTTATACAACAGCTTCTACGCAAACCGCAATATCATCCGTCTGGTAACATCACCATGTTCCCAGATATCGCGAACGGACAGCACAGAGATAAAGGACATGCAACCCCGGGAGGAAGCATGGATGCTGAACAAGAGGTACGCCGATACAAAACGGAGCAGCTGGTTTGCTACCTACCTACCTATGTATATGACCTGAACCGTCCGACTAACTTCCCTACCTATGTTTTAGACTGCCCTGAAGCCACTATTCCCAATCCGCATCAACGGGAACCTTCTCGACCCTTCGGTGAAGCCAAAGGAGGACGCATCCGAGACCAATTACGTACTAATCCAAACCGACGACAAAAAGCTCGGGACGTCAAAGAGACAGGACCTAGCCGATGCCAATCTCGTGCCCCTCAAGTACGTCTCGATGAACACACGTCTTTTCAGCTATCCAGACGTTAGCCTGGCCAAGATTCGCCAACTGGCTCCGGTCCTCTATGCAGATATATACCGCAAGGAGCTCAAAGTCTCGCCTGTACTTGAAGGGTTGGAAGATGAAGTCGAAGTGGATGTCATATTCCATAACGATGTGAACTTGAGCTCCGAAGACCTCCAGACTCGGGTTGCAAAGGAATCAGGTCTTGGCTTGCAGGACATCAAGTTCAGCGGGAAAAAAGCACGAATTACTGTACAGGGTACTCGTATTGGCCGAATTGCGGAAATTGACGAAGTATTCTGTATAGAAGCAGCAAGTATGACAGAACACTGAGTTGGGTTGTCAAAACATTCATTTTACACACCAAGAAACAAACCCCTTATGTATTTATAACGGATACTTAGACTAGGTAGGGTACCTAGCTTCCTTTATATCCCTTCAAGTTCATATGCTTGAAGAATACTAGAACAAGATCATAAATACCTATGAAAGCGTGATCCTCATACATGTTTTCATACATGTTTTCATACATATCGTGACAATACAATTGAGAAGTAGCGTTTCATCATAACAAGAACCCGCGTAGGTTCTTATCCCGACATATGAAATGAAACGAAAACATGGTCTCATTAGCGTTACAAGAATTCCAAAATTCGTTAAATCATATCGGTTTTTTTTTTGTTTTTTTCAATCTCACCAAGCTTCTCCTTAGGACTTTTGTATTAGTCCTACCCCTAAGAAAAGAGCTTCTTGAAAGCGGCGCGGATCCCTCCAGACTTTTTCTTAGCCTCGGCAGCTTCGGTGGCCTCTCGAGCTTTCTGCCGCTCCTTTTGCCTCAACTGTCTATGCTCGTCCTTGGTCGGCGAGGGAGGAGTGGCTTTGGAACTGGTGGACTCGAGTGAGCCGCTAATCTTTGCTTCGGACCTGCGTCTTTTAGGCGAGTCGTTCTGGTCGTGGTCATGGTCATGGTCGTGGTCATGGTCATGGTCGTGGTCGTGGTCGTGAGACCTATGGCTCCTGGGCCGGGGGATTTCCCCGGATTCTCGGTGAGACCTGCTAGATTTGCCGGTGTTGGTACGTCTAAGGAGTCCTGATGATTTCGATGGCTCTTTGAACACTGGAGGAGGAACGTTGCTACTGTTACTTCTGGTGCGAGGAACGTGGTTTGGTGCTAAAGAGCTTTCGCCGTGCCTCATGTCGAAGAACCTCTTGTTTGAGGACGAAGCACTTTCCTTCGCGGGGTGTCTCTCGGAGTGAGATCGCTCGGAATACCTTTCGGGCTGGGGTCTTTCGGAATATCTTTCCGAGAAGGACCTTTCAGAATACTTTTCAGGCTGAGACCTTTCCGGGTACTTTTCGGGCTGGGATCTTTCGGAACGCCTCTCAGTCTGCGACTTTTCTGAGTGCGATAGACTGTGCCGTCTTGAGCTACGGTAGGAAGAGTGCCGATCGCTTGGCGGCGCCTCCAAGTCCTTGCCTTTCTCCTCCCGTGTCCTATCGTACGCTTCACGAGCAGCACGTCGCTCTTCCTTACGCTTCTCATGGGCAGCTTGCTCTTCGGGGGTGCGATGCCTGCGGTTTGAGGAATCGGTAGTGCGCGAACTCTCAACAGAAAAGCCACTGTCTCTCTTAGGTGTCTGAGGGATCGAGCGATCGGAAGAAGACTTTATCGAGTGGTTATTTTCAATACGAGTGTTGCGAGGGTGAAGGTGTTCACCGCTGCCCTTGATATCTTTCGATCGGGAGGAATGATGATGGTGATGGCGTCGGTGCCTATGATGTCGCTCATCTGCCGATTTCTTTTCTTCATCGTCTGTAGACAGGTCAGCAACGGGCAATGAATAATCATTTTGGCCAACGCTCTGATTCCCTGTTACAACACCCGGCAAAAAGAAACCATCAATTTCCTGGGCACCTTTCTGGTTCGGCTCTAGTGTTTCAACTGCATTGTTCTCGACTTGGGGACTACCTAAAAGAGAACTAGATGATGGGCTAAGCTCTTGAGCTGCAGCATATAATATAACGGCGGCTGCTACCGCTTCCTCAGCTTGCTTAAGTGTTTGCCTGCGTCGCTTTCTAACGCTCTTCGCGCGCCCTAAGGCTTTGGCTTTGGAGTCTGTGGGATCTGGTAGAATGACTCCTGGAGTTTTTGAGCGAGGTTCTAGGTCGGCCAAGTTGATGAAACTCCAACTTGGTTGAGAGCCAAAGTCAAGGTCGTCTTCAGTCTGAGTACTTGAATGCACTAGAGGTGGCCTAAGTGTTCGCTTGCTGCTCTTTTGTGGAATTGGTCCCTTTTCGATTACTGTAAATGATTCAGAGAGAGATATAGTCGATGCTACTATTTCTGGCGACTCGGGTGTAACAGCACGAGCTAACTCTTGTTGGACCCCAGCGGTTTGGTGGCTGGGGTCATTCCGAACGCTTTTGGTTTCACGGTCCAGTTCGTCTCTGGTAGGTATGCGTTTGTCGAAAGGATCGACTGGCTCAGACGGTCTTTGGGGCGAACTGCACCCCTCGTTGCCTTCGCTGGGGAGAGAGCTGATAGACTTCTCTAACGAACTGAGATCGCGGGATACGGCTACTGGTTCAGGTTCTGCTGGCTTTTCTATAAGGGCCTCTGCAAAGTTGAGTGGTAGACTAGACGCTGCTTGCTCATCGTTGCTCTCTGACGGGGGTCTGCGAGCAAGTGCTCCACCAGCGACTGCAAATGCGGTTGGCCTGAAAATTCCTAATTTGACCATGCTTGAGTGATCCCTTGCGGCCTCTAAGTTATTTGCTAGCATTTTCACCTTCGTAGAAGCTAGTGGAACACCGGAAGCTTTTGTTATATCTAATACCTCGGGCGCATCGGACGGAACGAACTCGGATTTTTGCTGGGGTGATGACTCTTTGCTTCTAGAATCTTGGCCTGCTTCTAATGGCTTAGAGGCGACCACACCACTGATTTTAGGCTGCGATTCTTTCGAGAAGGCTAATATATCGTGATCCCCATCCTTATTTGGTTCTTGGGGTGTGAGTCCTGGGCTGCTCCCAAGGTCCACACTGGAAATATCGACAAAGCTCGAATCCTGAAGTTCTTCAATTGGCTCATTATGGATAGATGTTTCAGGAATTGCTTCTTGTAGTTCCTCACTAGTCCGCTCCTTATTATCACTGGGTGGAGGTTCATCTTCGTTTGTAGTATCTGCAGTGATTTCGGGAAGATCTTTTGAGCCACTCTTAGTATTAAGTTTAAGTGCTTCTGGTATTTCCGAACTAATACCTTCATCTTCTTGTACTTGCGGAGAAGCTGTGTCGTCCGCTAGGGAAGGGATGCATGCATCTTCTGTGAGTCGTGTTCTTGGGAACGCCTCCATTTCCTCATTAGGACTGTCCTGAAGTGCAAGTGATTGCTTCTGAGTCTCCGGTGCATCCTGGACTTCCAGGGGAGAAACAAAAATAGGCTCGATATCTTTGCTCTGCTCGCCTAGCATCTCAGGGTGATTCTGGGTCAATGATCTAATGAGGCTTTCAATATCCTCCTGAGGCTCCGGAGATAGCTCGTCCGTATATAAACTTTTACCGAGCTGGATTGAATCGGGCCCATCTGCCATATCTTGACTGCCCTTCCTTGAAACCTCCACCTCCTCAACTGAAAACAAATGCTCTGGAACTGACTCGGGGGTATCATCAAAATCATTCGCTCTAACGCCAGGGGTATCTCCTACTAAACTTGAAAACAACTGATCCTCACCTTTCGAGGCCTTCCGGACTGGTCCACCGTCAGTCGGGATGGGCCCAACGGTATCCTTGCTCTCGTCATCGCTTCGTATTTTCTCAGCTTTGATATCCTCGACTACTCTGGCATTTTCTTTGGGCGCTCCTATAGGCCCTGGCTTATTATTAATGACAGGCTCCACTAGAACAGCTTTGTCGCCTAGAGCTCTAGTCACCCCTTCATTTTTCTGGGCTTGATCTGGCACAGTAGTGTCACTGAAAGACTCTTCCGGTATGGGCTTGTCCCAAAGACCTGTAGCATCTTCCTGGGCTCGGGATTGATCTGGTGTAGTGGTTTCACTGTGTGATTGCCTGGATAAATTTTCGGCTTTTTCAGGTTTAGCTATATTTGGGCTCTCGGCTTCCTGTTGAACTGCTTCGGTGCTCTGATCTGTCTTGTCGTGGGATGGAGGCGCCGAGTCTTCAACTGCGGCGGGCGAGTCATTTCCTGTTACTTCGAGGCTGGGTACATCCTCAAGATTAAGCGTCTCGTCCGTGCCACGAGTAGGGTCCTTGTCGATTGTGACCTCCTTAATATCCGCAATCACATCCGCCTTAGCTGGCTCATTGCTTTCTGTAGGTTGGACCAGTTCTGGTTCTGCTTGAGCTCCGTTGACAGCTTTATCATCGTTATTCTCCGGAAGCTGTGGGGAAGTGACAGGAGCTGATGGCTCCTTAGGCGTAATTCCCCGCTGTTCAGGATCGTCGACGCCTTTATCCGATGCGTAACCCTCAGAATCCTTGGTACGAAGTTGCTTGCTACTATTATCGATGGGAGGCTTTGAATCAGTAGTAATAGGTTGCGTATTATCGCCTGAAGATGTGTTCGGTAGACTTTCTGCCTTATCATCCGATCTTATAGAAATTTGATCTGCGGGATTAGGTTCTTGTGAAGGAATTGGATCCTGGGTGGAGGGATCTGATGGATTGGAACCAGGCTCTCCGCTTTGGCTGTCTTGTATATGGACTACCTCTGGTTCCTCCGAGACGACCTTCTCCTCGGGACTGGTGGCCTCTGTATCTTTGTTCTCTTGTGACTGACTCGGAACAATAGGCTCACTCGATAGCTTGGTTTCTCGTGGGGAAACTTGTTCGTCGGTGGCGGGATCTGGTAGGGGGGTATTTGACTCCTCATTCTGGTTGTCTTGTATGTGTATTACCTCTGGTTCCTCCGGAATGGATTTATCTTTAGGATCTGTATCCTCGCTCAATTCGTTCTCCTGGGAATTATCTAGCACGATAGCGGTACTCAGTAACTCTCCTTTTGTTCCTTCGTCAGAGGACTGTTCAGTGTTAGCCTCTGCAACAGGCTCGGAGACTGGCTTATCAGGGGTTTGGCCTTCAGTGGGTTCAGAAACTATAGGCTCCTCATCCAACTCATTTGAGGTGTCACTAGGCTTCGTAGTCTCTACTTTGTGATTTTGAGGTTCCTGTAAGTCAGACTTGGGAGGCTGATCAGGCGACTGTTCCGTAGGCGAGTCAACTGCTACCGGAATAGCATCACTAGAATTACTTTCCAAAGTGTTGGGAGCAGCGGGTGTGCTATTCTCTATAACCTCTTTGTCCTCGATAGAGGC